GCGCGGACCTGAGCGGGACCTCGCCGTCCCTGGGGGGCTGCGATCTGCGAAACTGTCGCCACTTTCGAGGGCTGCTGGTGGGTCCTGCGGAGTGAAGCACCGCGCGGATCTGAGTGGGACCTCGCCGCCCCTGGGGGGCTGCGATCTGCAAAACTGTCGCCACTTTCGAGGGCTGCTGGTGGGTCCTGCTGAGTAAAGCACCGCGCGGACCTGAGCGGGACCTCGCCGTCCCTGGGGGGCTGCGATCTGCGAAACTGTCGCCACTTTCGAAGGCTGCTGGTGGGTCCTGCGGAGTGAGGCACCGCGCGGACCTGAGCGTGACCTCGCCGTCCCTGGGGGGCTGCGATCTGCGAAACTGTCGCCACTTTCGAGGGCTGCTGGTGGGTCCTGCGGAGTAAAGCACCGCGCGGACCTGAGCGGGACCTCGCCGTCCCTGGGGGGCTGCGATCTGCAAAACTGTCGCCACTTTCGAGGGCTGCTGGTGTGTCCAGCGGAGCGAGGCACCAGGCAGATCTGAGCGGGACATGGCAATCCATGGGGGGCTGCGAGCCTCACGAATGCCGCTCGCAGAAGTATATGCGCCCATGTCACGTCATCACCTCCGTATAACGACTCCCAAGCTACTAATGCCCCGCATTGCGCAGGGGTTGGGTACGTCGCCAGGGTAATTCCTAGTACTCTGATATGCTTGTTTTCGTACCATTCGTAGTACTAGTATGTTCGTTAATCGTCGAATTAGCCCTATCCAGTGCTATTGGTAGTAATAGAATTAGAAGTCGTGGTATTAGAAGCAGTAGTAGTAGTAGTAGTAGTAGTAGTAATAGTAGTAGTAGTCGTAATAGAAGAAGCGAATGTAGTAGTAATAGTAGTAGTAATAATAGTAGTAGTAGTAGTAGTAGTAGTAGTAGTAGTAGTAGTAGTAGTAGTAGTAGTAGTAGGTAGTAGTAGTAGTAGTAGTAGTAGTAGTAGTAGTAGTAGTAGTAGTAGTAGTAGTAGTAGTAGTAGTAGTAGTAGTAGTAGTAGTAGTAGTAGTAGTAGTAGTAGTAGTAGTAGTAGTAGTAGTAGTAGTAGTAGTAGTAGTAGTAGTAGTAGTAGTAGTAGTAGTAGTAGTAGTAGTAGTAGTAGTGTAGTAGTAGTAGTAGTAGTAGTAGTAGTAGTAGTAGTAGTAGTAGTAGTAGTAGTAGTAGTAGTAGTAGTAGTAGTAGTAGTAGTAGTAGTAGTAGTAGTAGTAGTAGTAGTAGTAGTAGGCATAATAAGAATCCGGTATACCGAATTACTCGCAGTCTTATCATTGCTCGTATTCGTAATAATGTAACTAACACTTATACTACTACTACTACGACTACTACTACTACTACTACTACGCTACTACTACTACTACTACTACTACTACTACTACTACTACTACTACTACTACTACTACTACTACTACTACTACTACTACTACTACTACTACTACTACTACTACTACTACTACTACTACTACTACTACTACTACTACTACTACTACTACTACTACTACTACTACTACTACTACTACTACTACTACTACTACTACTACTACTACTACTACTACTACTACTACTACTACTACTACTACTACTACTACTACTACTACTACTACTACTACTACTACGATTACGTTCCGAAATACTGCTTCTAGTACGAATACCTCAATTACGAACCGTACTATTAATGATAGTCTTCCTCTTCATATCATTATTAATATGCTGATTGTGATTAGCCGTATTGAATCGTTACTGATTGTTTTGTGATTATCCGTAGCATTCCCAGCATTATTCTTGTGATGATTATCTTCCGTATTGCATCCTTACTATTAGTATTACTACGATGTGTTGTACGATGATTACCCGTATTCATATTTGGTATCATTATAATTTAATCGCTTCGCTCACTCCGCAGGCCCGTTGTGTGCCATCGCAGGCGTGTGCCTGCGCGTTCGTGGCCTCTTGAAGGCCGTTTGGGGGCATCTTGAAACCTCTTTTTGGGCCTCTTGGCGGTATTTCTGGGACCTCCTGGGGCGTTACGGGGGCCTCTTCGGAGCCTCTTGGGCCTTTTGGGGGTCTCTTGGGGCCTTTCGGGGGCCTCTTGGGGCCTTCTTGGGGGCCTCTTGGGGCCTCCAGGGGACCTCTCTGCGCCTAGAGCTCGACATGTCCGCTCGGGTCCCTCGTCTGGGCCAGTTCTTGGAGCCGTCTTGGGAGCCTCTTCGGCCATCTTGGAAACCTCTGGGGCTGGCCTCTTGGGGCGTCTTGAAAGCGATTTGGGCTGCCTGGAAGCCACCTTTGGCGTCTTGGATCGCCTTTGGGCCGTCTCGGGCCATGTTGAGCTCTTTCGAAGGCCACTTGAAGCGCTCCTGGAACGCTCTTGGGAGCCTGCTGGGACCTGGCCGGGACCTACTTTTCGTCCGGGGACCCCCAGAGGCGGCCCCGCGCGCGCGAACTACAATATTGTTAACCAGTCTTCAAAGATCTTAGCACGC